TATTATTTCTTAAACAAATAATTTAACTGTATTTTGGGGGGTGGAGGGGGTGGGGCAATGTTAGCACTTAGAGCAAGAGACATTGTATTGACAAGTCACTGCATATTAATCTACTTGTTTAGACAGATAAATGTCAAGCCAGGATGTTTGGGAAAATTTATTCCATTAGCATATTGAAATAATGCTGTACATATATAATCATCTCTATTCACATTTTCTATGAAGAGGAAGACATACCTATTTTTACACTCCCTAACAACAGCAAAGTTTCCATCTCCTATAACTTTTCCTATTCTATAAAATCCATGAACTGATATTCTTTCTCTCTTGATCTTCTTGGGATCTTTAGCTGTGGATAAATAAAAAAAATGTACATCTCAAAATACAGCAGGTGTAAAATTATATTTACTTGTGATAGCACAATAAATAAAGCCAAAGCAACAGCATAGATTATAGGGATACCTTAAGAAAGCATATTAGATTTATGCTCTGTGATCAGACAAGATGCCAATTTCCCCAACAAACGTGGTAATTACAGAAAATCAAAACACAACTGCACCACAGAGTTTTTATTATTGTAATGTTGCACATCCTTTGAAAAGGATATCGACAGGGATGTTATTTCAAGCTACAAGCCATTTAAGCCATAAACCTTATTAAATTATGAATCAACAAAGCAGAAGTCAAAATTTTTAACTGTAGAAAACAGTTATAATATTATCACAAACAACAGTTTTACTGCTTATGAAAATTAACTTCAAATATACCATCAGAAAAAATAAGAGGCTTAAAAATGTACACTGCATTAACTACAAAATCAACAGATAAGCTTTACATTTTTGAATAAAGCAATCAGAAAAAAAATTTAACTGGAGGTTACAAAAAAAATGACTGTCAAAATCTGATATAAAGCCTATTTCATTTTACATTGTAACTGCATAAAACAATATCAACATTTTTATATTGACTAGGACAGAATTCAATAGATTTATCTCCTCTCTTCTTAGCTTTACTTTATCTCTGGCTTACAACAATCATTGATAATTTTATAGCTCAGATTGGAATATCATGGAATACATGAAGAAAAAAATTCAAAAGACAGAACAAATTCAAGAGAACAATAACTTTTACAAGCTTGACAAATTTTACGCAAAAGACGGTTGTTTCTATTTTTGTTCTCTAAGTAAAAGACGAAATTATGTTAGACACAGGAAGCCATTAAAAATCGAAGGAGGAAGCATGCCAGAGCCAATGAGAAGGCAAGGAGCGAGGTGGTTTTGAAAACACCTGCTGACAGAGGAAGCTGGCAAAACTTCTTCACATTAACATATACACTTCTATTCACACATCTATGCTCTTAACACTTACTAAATGATTTTACATTGTCAGGAAACCTGTCAAAAATGTAAAGTGTTGGTGAAGCCTATATTCATTTCCTAACCTTAATTAAATGAAAGCCATTTGGAAGATGACATTTAGCAACATCATGTTACATGCGATAGGGTTAGCCTCCTTATGATGCATTTAAATTTTTTATTTGAATTTAGCTAAGCTATTTCAATTTAAGCACACAAAAGCCATCTGTCTTACTTTACTTCAATTAAATATTTGATTTCAGCAGTTGATATACTGTCGTGTCAGATATAACTCATCCAATAAGAGTTTAGTTTCATAATTTAAGTTCTTTTAACAGATGCATAAATTCGACGATTAAGTTAAAAGTTCTTGGAGAGAAACAATAATAGCAGATGTGTTAAATGAGTTACAGCAACAGGGAAGAAAGAACAAAAAAGATAAATAATTCATGAACTCATATCAGTAAAAAACAAGCAACAGAAAAGACTGGTAACCAACTACTTTTTTTTGTGTGAGGTGTTTTGTTTCTATTCCACCCAAACATCTACAGGTCACTTCTTGCATTTGTCTTGAGCTACTATGAAATAACATATTTATAAAACAGGAGTAAAATCAAATAACATATCTAACCCTTCAAGTTTTGTATTTATTTTTCAAGAAAAATTCCAAATGAAATAGTCTCGGTGAAACTTAATGAGGGGAAATGACTGTGAAAGACAGAATTTTTTGCTATTACTATTGTTTTATTTTTGGCTTGTAGCATGTTTAAATCACCCTAGATTTTCTTTATTTTATTGCAACGAAGGACTAAAATTGTTAATGATTATTTCCTGTTTTTGACAGGAAGAAAAGGACTGTGAGTATGTTCAAAATAATTTAACCCGAGTCTAAAAAATTAGCTCTTCACCAGTTTATGTTCACCGCACCCAACACCACAATAAGGCACTCTCAGATTTATTTGATAAAATTTTTTTCTCCACTACTAGCAGTAAAAATTAATAGCTCAAAAGGTTTAGATGAGAGTTAGGTTAACCTGAGCAAGGCAAAGAGAAGAGACAGATGGCGGAGTCATGATCTCCATTTATTTGACTACTGGCTAAAAAGCACTGACAATACAGTATTATAATGCAGGGTCAAAAGTTTGAAATAAAAGACAATGGGTAAATATTATTACTACGCTAATAAGTGATTAAAGCTTTAAAGCACAATCAATTTTTAACTCATTGAAGCTGGCAAATAATTTCTAACTGACTACAACCAATCTTTGCCTGGTGTTTAAATGGATGTTTACAATGAATTATCATTTATTTAGCTTTAATAAGTCAAAATGTGGCTACAGTATTTCAATCTACCAGGTGTTAAAAAAGGTCAAAACAAATAGAGACCAATGAAATTTGTAAAATTTACACTGCTATAAATTACAAGTTAAACTTGGCAAATAAATGCTTCACCAAAATCAAGAAACCATGAAAAGCATCTTGACAATTATTGGCCACAATAAATAAATCTTGCTTGCTTGAAATAAAATTGACAATGATAGTCAAAGAAAGACCTGCAGCCTTTCAAATTCATTTACGTATTACTTTAATTTATTAAGATTAAGTCTTGAAACCCTCTTTTCTCTTTGTTCCTTTGGTTATTGGTCTGTATACTGAGTTCTACAATAATCTATGGCTGTTGTGGCATCTGATCAAGTCATTTATTCAGTCACTCATTCTAACTAATTTGCACAAACAAACCGACAGGTTTTGCTTGCTTTCAGCTTTCAACCTAACTCTACAATTTTCAGTGACCTCTGAATTCTTTATTTTAAATGCTTGCTTTTGTTTATGCAATGCAATTTAATTCTTATACCTAACTTAAAAACAGTTTATACTGGTTCATATTCAACTGGACACACATTTCAATAACAGTATCGACATGCGACAAAGCAATACATTGCAAGGGAGTTTTCCCCAAGTTGTTTCAATAATTAACGTTTAACATCGTTTATTTTAAAGTTTTGTGAATTTAACATTTAGTTCAAGCTCCTGATTCCATGAGAGTTAAGGAATAAGCAAGGAGCTCCATTGTATCTACTCAAATGATGTATCCACGCCGGACTCAATTCTCTCTGCAGAGGAAGCATATGACATCAATGTTTAGTTCTTCAGTTTTGAAGATTCCAATTTTGACTCAGTAAGAGTGTTCCGGTGTTTTGAAGACAAAAACACATTGTTTTCTTTCACAGTAGTGGAATTATTGGACCAGTTTCACCTTAAATATGTGACATACATTATTAAAAATTACTAAACAGGTCAATGAAAGTTGACACAGGGAAAAGGAAAACTGCTTTGTACACTTCTATAGCTTTGAGTTTCATTCTGGTTTTGAATTTCAATGTGTTTTTGTCTTCATAATATGTAAGACAGTACGATTTGTGTTATACAGTTACTAATGTCCAATAATCGATAAAAAGAAACATTCATAACCAGGGAACCACCAACAAGCTTTGTGATTGGCTGCAGGTACCTGCATGACACCTGGTCCAGAAAGGAAACACCCCTGAAGCCTTTCATGCATGGTATTCACAAGTTAACCAAAAATTCATATTCTGCCAAAACCCCAGGGCCTCCCACATCCCATGCGCATAACTTGTTTTGTGATTTTCTCTAGCCTTGAACCCCTCCCAGTAACTAAAAGATCAATTTTCAGTGCAATAAAGTTTAACAATTTTTTTGTTCTCTTCAGATCAGTTCATTAGACAACTGATCAAATAAACAGTGTTCCATGAACCCCTTATACATTAAACAAAGAAAGAGATATAAAACTGGCCCAATAATAATTCACTATTGTTTCATTCATCTTCGAGGGGAGGGGAGCTCCTTGCAAATTTGGATAAGAAGTCATTTAACAGGTGACTGTACATATTGAAAATTTCACCTCAAAGTGAAACCAAAGCTGATACTTGTTTCATAATCATTGAAAGAAGGTAAAGATGGTGACATTTAAGGATGAAATACAGAACAAACAGTTTGAAGTCTATTTTGAGGAAGAGGTTTGAGAGCAGAGAGGAGTTTGAAGATGAGACAACACCCCACAAAAGAAGAATACTGCTTTTTGTTAAAGCAACATGTGCTATCCAGAGAGCCATGTGGTCAAAAAATAAATTTCACCTTCAAAGAACTTTGTCATGCAACCAGCCTCTTGTTTTTACTGTGTGACAGCCACAAAATTTGTTTGATTATCATTATTTTCAGATGTGAGTAAGCATGGAATTCCAGACAGATTTATGACCAAGTTGAACATAATGTGCATTGGAAAATTGATTCTAACACAGCTGTACCACAACAACATCGCAGAGAATAACTCAATTAAATATATGTGATTTACTAATTACATCAAAACATAATCAGTTCTTAATTTAAGTTTAGGAATTTCGAAAGGTCAGATAAGAATGTTTAAAATAACTGAAATTAAGTGTGCTAATTTGTTATTAAAATACAAGTTCTTATAATTATCATGATTAAAAATATTTAACAGAATCTTAAAGTACTCTGTCGCATTACCATTCAAAAGATTAAAGTGGCCTGTCACACAGAAAAAACATTTGACTTAGAAATTATTGCACAAATTATGGAAGCTGCTTCAGGGTGAAAAACTGCCCCAAAAATGAAATAAAATGAAATAAAAATAATAAACAAAATCAACAGCTTGGGATATATTTTATTGGTAAAATAAAACTGATATTTACAGCTTGAATATACAGGAAGGTGGGAATTTTACAATGTAAGGAAGTCTTAATTTTCAGTTATGGTTTTAGTTTATTTTAGGGAGGTTTATAGTTTACAGTTTAGTGTGATTTTGAGTCTCTCTTAAAGCTTATCTTACAAATTGAGACGTTACTTCATATTTAAAGTTGAGACTCTCCATGTGTATTGTTTAAAAGTGTAACCAAAATCATTGCTTATCTCGATCAGAAATTTATTTGAAGCGTTTTGTCCTAGGTATTTGTGGTATTCATTTCTTTTCAGTTGGAGGAATGTGAAATTCACTTAAATACTCATAGAGGGCCTCGAATAGGATAATACAATACAATTTTAGTAAGATTTTCACTTACAAAACAATACTTCTGTAGACATATATATATTCTCTCTCAAGGCTAAGCCTTACATTGACTGATCTTTTAATTGATAGGCTTACAAATCAATTTAAAATTTATTTTTTGGAATTAAATGTTGATGAATTTATTGATAGCTTTAAATTTTTGTTTAATGAATTAAAACTAGTATCATTGGTTTAATAGTTTTTATCACATTAATGACAAATTTTGACAATAATGCCAGAGAAAAATGCTGACTGATCCTGTTGTTTAACTAAAAATATTTTTCCACTCGTCAAAGTCATCACAAGACATCATCCAAAATCATGCCAATCATTAATTTCAAAAATATATAATATTTATATTAAGCTTTAAAATCAAATTCGTGCAAAGTATTGATTCTCCTCTCTGAAATTGATCATTAAATCCTTACTTTAGCATTTAACCCCACTGGGCTTTCTTTAAATTTATTCCAAGATTAAATCTCAAGTTTAAATTGAAATATCATAAGAAATTAACTCAGGGAGTTCAAAACTGAGACATGTAGATGTTTCATCTGACAATCTTACTGTCGTCAAGAAGGAAAACAAACAGATTAAGCTGTTTAATGGATTTGAGTGCCAGAAAGGAATTCCTTGAATAGCTTCCATTCACTTTGATCTCCATGCTTGTTGTCAAACAATACACAGCAATGTGGAATTGATGGGTGCTCAGGAGATAACAGTTTCATAATTCGTTCAGCTGTGAGGTATTGTAGTAAAAGTAGTCAGTTGTTTGCCTAATAAACTTGTTTATAGAAAATGTGACGTGATTCACATTTGCAAAAGGTTTGGTAAAATTTTTGTAAGTTTGGAATCTCTTTTCAAAATGCTGGCACTGCCAATAATACCTCTATATTATCTACATTTTTCTTGCATAAGATAAAAATACTTTTCTACACAAAAATATAAATTCTGGTTAGAGGTTACAAACAGTAAAATGGTTCTCCTCTTTTTCACTAGCTTACACAGCAGGTGCTGCTATCTTTTTGTTTATTTTTTCTCCTGGCAAGTAAGTCAACATCGCTTTTGGACCTTTTTCTAAGTGTTTGTGGTAAGCTGTTAGACTGTGAAAAATCATGATGATAATCTCGAGAATCTGAATGCCTTTCATTCCTAAGTGGATGCATCACGGAATAAGAGGGAACCTCCTCTAAGCTGTCATTTTCAACAACCTGTAAACAATTTACTCTCTCCTCTAGTTTTTCTAAAGCCACTTGTAATTCAACAGTTAGTTTTTTCAGTTCCCTATTTTCTTGTTCCAATTGCAGTGCTGTAAATCGGTCTTGCAGATCCTGTGCACGGAGCTGATTTAGCTCAGCATCTGGTAAACTTAATGTTCTATGGAGTTTTTTGCGAGGTCCAATCATCTCCTCGTATGATTTATCAATTTCTGAATGTAAGCCTGAATCTTCATCTTCAAACTTTGAAAACAGTGAAGGGGTAGTTGGTCGACTACTAAATGAAGATGAAGCCTGACTGCCAAATGGTGAAGTGGGTCGACTACTATAGGGTGTGGTTGCCTGGCTACTATAAGGAATGGTTCCTCTACTTCCCGTTAATTCTAATTTTTTATCTGGTTCACGTTCAGACTCATAATCACTAAGCCACACAGTTGCGTAAAACTTGTTGCTTGATGAAGGGCTAGCCTTTGGTTTATGTTTCCTAATGACTCTCTTCGGAGCTCCCTTCCTCCAAGCTGTGTAATGTATGAAAATTTGTCTAAGTATAACTCTGGCACATCTCTTCATGACATGATCAGTTCCAAGTTTGTAGTCCGACATTTTCAATTCTTGTTGTGTTTATATTATTGACTTATTTAGTATCACCACAGCATTTTTTTTTTTTTTTGATCTCTTAATCGTTTTCAAAACATTTGTATTTCTATGGTGTATTTGTATTTCTTCCTATGGTGAAGCAAAACAATCTTGAAACATTGATTTAATTTTTTATTTAAAATTACCGGTAGCGGCTTCATTGGATTAATTCTGTAACTGATTATTAGCACTTGCTATTGGATGCGTTAAGTTTGTGTGACAGGTCAACCTTATTCTTTTAAATGGATTGATTCTGAGAGTTTTTAATGTTGTTTATCACATTGAGTATCTATCTTTTTATCTTTAGATTTAACAGTTTCATCTAAAAGATATACAGACACAGAGAAAGAATATGAGGCAAATTATATTATTTTTAGCACACACGTTATTGTACAAAAACTGCTCTTGCTGTCAGCATTTGCATAAACACTAACCAGTTTAAAATACCAGAAACCGAAAGACAAGCCCTTCAAAATTTCAATCCTCTCTTTGCGTCTGTATTTCACATAAACCAGGCATGATCTTGGATAAATTTCAATGAGTCACAAAAAGTCTCACCTGAATCTGGAGATTCCTTCTCAAAGACATTGGCTGGGTACCTGTTATAAATAAATTCAATGTTTATTATCACAGGGCTGCACAAATGTTATATGCCTGTAGTCAATAGTCAGTACTAATGGTCAATATGCACAGTCGCTGGAATTATTGCTATTTGTGAGAATCTTCTTTATTTTAATTTAAACCCATCATCTCAAAATCCTCTTTCAGTGTACTACTCAGTCATGTTGAGCACTTTTTTAGTACCAAGTGCAAAAGAAGTCATCTTGTAATAAATATTCTTAGATTCATCCCACAGTCAAGTTAGCCTCCTTAACGCAGATATTCTTACAGCTTGTTGTGCACTCCACCACAATGAACACAGAAGATTCTGTGACAAATCATAGGAATGCATTTGAATAAGAGACTACATGCTAGTCAGAGTGTGACTCATAACGATCAGCATCTTCATGTGTACAGAACTGGTTTTCCCTTCATCTCTTTTAATACTATTTTTACACCATCCTGATACATCCTGACAAACACTTTCAGCGTCTGTCAAAATCAGATGCCATCCGAATTTCCAACATTTCACTGTGAATATAGCAACTACTCATTGTTTCTTGATCAGAAGTACACAATTTATACCATCCCCTTATAAACTAGGAAGTCTAGGAATTCTTATAATGATGTCTACTACTATAAACTGATAACCAATATCCTAAAAACAGTAATGAACACAATTATTTTTTTGTCCACAAAGAAGCCCATGTGTTGCCATCCAATATCAATATTGCAATGTGTTGAGATCTTCTAATGAACTTACAACTCTTCATTTGGGTGTACATGACCAGTGTTTGGAGTCTGTAAAACAAAGTAGAGCAACATTGTTATGCTGTTGGCTTCATTTCACATGTACAATGTACCAGGTAAATGAACAGAAAAAAGTTGCTCCTTGTAATTATTACAACTTGCAACTAACCCTTCTTCCAGAGGATCCACTTGGTGACTTGGCACCAGCTGCTGTTCAAAAAAAATCTGCGTCAGTGAAAAGTATGCAATAATACATGAATGTGTACACAAATCTAGGACAAATTATATCATGACAAACAGATTGTCCCCTACTTATCTCAAAACATCAATTCCCCTCAGAGATAAGAACACATGTCTTTTGACGTTAGGTACAAGAATTTGGTGTTTGACCAAGAAAACATCCTCAGTTAATGATCTACCATTTTCTCACTTCCTATCTGCTTTACAATGCATTGATAATGTGAGGAGAAATACTATAGTGACTACTTTTGGGAGTCATAAAGTTAAACATCCACACTTACATCTTGGGCTGTGTCCATTCACCTAGAAAAAATTGAAATAAGAACATTAGCATATAATTAAGGAGGCAAGTTCACGAAAAGACAATCCAGGTTTGCATGGAGTTCATTACAAATTTAATATTGAAATCTAGTTTTACTTTTTCTTGTAACATGTGTCTCATTAAGGGCCAGGCACTAAACAAACTGACCAGCAGTGTGGATGATTTTGCCCGGCTGGTTTGACAGTCTAGAGGAAAATTTTTCATTCAAAACATTTTGTCCACACGTGAAAACCAGTTGTCATCCTGCTGAAACTGTTAATGAAAACCCTCTTGTATTTCTTGCTTTACTGATAACAACAGAAAAATTTCAAGAGGCATGCCATACCCTGTTAGCTGGAGGACCAGGGCTCATTCCTCGATCCTTGCCAGTGCTCTTAACTAAAAAGACAATGTGCATACAATACAATTTTAATTAAAACAACAAACACCAGCCTGGGACAATTTATAATGTCCACAGGTGATTTAATTTGATTTTGCACAAGAGATATAAAAAAAAAGCATCATTTAACAACAATAACATAGCAGGATTAATTTAAGAATCCACGGCTTATTGTAGAGAGGAAAAACTAATAAATAATTTATGTGGGACTTCTCAAACTATGAGGCACTCTGGAATTAAAATTTAAACCTAAACAAGATGAAATATGATTGCACTGTACTTGGTAGTTTTAAGCTCAAATAACCTAAGTCTTGCTTTTGTAAATTTGGTTTTATCCCTGAAAATCTTTAAAATTTATGGCATCCTTAGATCTTTTGAGAAACATTTTCTAAATCATGTTAATGCTTGATTTAAAAAGATAATACAATCACAAATTATATTTTATCTCTAATAATAAATAATATTCATCAGATTCTGAAAATTTGAGATACTTAAATAGTTTTATTATTTATCTTCACAAGTATCCATATTACCTGAGGCAGATCGTCGCACTTGGCGATCACGAGATGGTGTGTGGCCTCCTGAAATTAATTGATGTTTACATACAATTCTCATCACTTATCTCTGTACATTTATGTTTAGCACCAGAGAGAAAAATTGTTAAAATATTTATCATATTTTCTCTACAGCAATCATTTCAAAAAAAAGGTTTAAAGGCCACAAAAGTGTTTCCATTGTTATCATCAACATTATCAATTTAAAATTATTGACTTTAGGATCATACATGTACCTATAATGTCATATAATTTTATCTCAAACCTGATTAAGAGGTCTTTTCAAGAAATTTAGAATTGCCCAAATTTTAAAGATTTATGTTTATGCCACACAAATAGTTTTAAGTAACAGATCTTTCACTAACTATCAGGAAATTTATAATTATCTGAAATTGGAATTTTTAGATGATGGATGTGTTGTAAACCGAATAATGAATTATGTCTTGTACAACATTTTAGTTAGCCAGAAAGGGATTTTTAAATCAAGGGTTTAGGTTTAAACAGGTTTCCAAAAGAAGCTGAGCTCCTTTATGATGTCCTCAAAGAAGCAAAGAGGCAATATTTTCAAAGAACAGTTTTACAAAACCACATAACATAGTGCAACTGCTGGCTTATAACACTACATACCAGTGTCATTAGAACCACTGTCTCGTCGACCCCGTGGGGTTCTTAATGACGATGATCTTTTCAAGCCCGCTGGCCTCTTCAGATCTCTATATGGAGTTATCTTATAGCCTAAAAATCAAATGGAACATACAAATCAACCTTTGTGAATACAAAAATTATGCATCAGCAAAAAGACCAAACAGCAGATCAGCCAGATCCAGCCTCCATAAAAGAATAACAAAATTGTGACAATGACAATTAACTAATGGTGAAAGGAATGACAGAAATGCTGGGCTATAGTCTTCTGATTGAAAGAGGTAATTAACGAAAGCCAAGAATAAAACTTACAGGTAAATGAAACATTTATTTTATTAGCAAATATTTCTTGTACAAAGTAACAATGCAGCATTTTACAATGTATTTTTTATGTTCCTTCTTTGGTCAAATTCTTAAACTTTCATTTTCTTCTCATCTGTTACAAACATCCTTTACCAATTCTTTCATGCCTTTCTGGCTCCAAAAATAACTCTGAATTCAATTAATTTAATATAAAAACTTCCTCTATCCTGTAAAACTTTCCTAACCTTTCTGCTAAAAATACAGTAACTCCACTACATTATTTGCAATTCAAGCAAATTCCGTACTCCCATTTACAGCTTTTCTTGATACTTCCACAAAACACTATTCCTTTATTTATTACCAAATTCAATTTTATATTCAATGCACAATAATTATTAATGGCAAGTAACGTACTTGAAGTTCTTAAAAGCCTCTTAATACTACTATGTCCTTTAATTTATAAATACCCTTAACTGGAATGTCTAATTTTAAAATATAACAACCCAACTTCTACAATTTACCCTTAAAATACCACATTGGTATAGAAATGAATGTGCCCACCACCATCTTATATTTTCCTTAACCCTGGTCGCTGAATAAGATACATGTATATATTTATGTAGACTCCCCTTACTTTAGCTTAATATATATGATGCATTATGTTACTTGAGATTGCATTGCCATTAATGATAACTTTAATAATATTTAAGCACACAGCTATATTCAGTAGCCATTTATATTTCTTTTAAGTATGTTACAAGCGTTGACCACCTACAGCTTGTAATAAAAGATAGATCAAACAGTAATTCGGATTAGCACAAGTTCATTTATACTGCATAATCCCCATTAAACGCACTCAGTTCCAGAAAGTTAGTTCTTCACATTTTTTATTACAAATCGTAGTTAATGTCTTCACTGGTGAAATAGTCCGCTCCATAAGGTTTGGTTCTCTTATCCAGAGCTCCAAAACTGAGTTTGTTTCACCAGGATTGCACAGAAATAAAATCTGCTTGTAATGGAGGATATGTATGATCATAACAAAAATACTACTATCAAAAATACCAATTTATCACGGACCATGAGATAATTTGAATCAGAATCAATTTCTACAAGAAAATAAGTATTTTAATCTCAATAGATATGCTTTGATGATTAAATATGGCCAAAAATAGAACCGTGTTGTCTTGACTGACTGAAATAGATTTTTCTTTTTGTCATGAATGAGCGACAGAATTTTCAAAATATAAATTTAATCCTATAGGATACCTTTTGCAATAATTGCATAGGCATGCAATATACTTGCATTAAAATGCAAACAACACATAATATGGTGTCGAATGGCTCTTTCAGATGCCACACATCTCTTCAGAGCCTGTAATTTCATCCATTCTCTGTTTCCCACACCTCTATTGTTTTCAGGGCTAGACTCATTGTTTCTGTTGTTTGTTCTATTGTTATCTCAGCCGATCCTGTTAAGCCCTCAGAGAGGTGTATGGCGCCTAAGCTCTTTGATAAAAATACATCAACAAGTTAACATATGAACAAAAAGTGATATACATATATGCTTGTTGGAATCAAAGTAAAAAAGCTGCCCATTTTCTGATAATGATGAAAATTGCATCAAAAAGTAATGATTGTCTTGAAGGCTTCAACTTGGAACAAGCAGTTCTACGCAGGCAACAACTGTGCACTGTACATGTATTTGTCAACCCTTACAACTAACTCAAAAACATACACTGTGCTCTCATCCAAAAAAGGAAAAGTTTATCTTTTAGTTCACAAAAGAACCAAAACTAATCAATCAAAGTGTTGTACAACATTTCTCTACTTGCATGTAGCCAGTAAAACTTCCTTGCTTATTTCAATTCTTGTTGGTTTGTTCATATGGTTCTAAAATGTTGAGTTGTACTCAACTTTCAAGCAGAAATAAATATATGTTGCTCTGTATATATTTGCGTTTTTAAATCTTTAGCACAAAGCTGATGTAGAGCGAAGAGTAAAAGTTTATAAAAATCTGTCAAAATGCACACAAGTAAATAAAACTAACCGAAACTGAATAAAATAAATAGTGTCACTAATAACGCTAATATGGATTTGATAAAATTAATAACTGGCTTTGTGGTCTATATAAAAAGGAACATCTACTATGCAATACATATATCAGTTAATTTTATAACAGATATATGTATATAGGTCTATATATATGCTGGTTAGTATAATAGATATAAAATTAATTTGTATAACTATATGATTATTAATAACATATTTAATATTGATTAGTGTTTATTTGGTGAGTAAAATAGATTGAACATTAACACATTAATGGATATTACATTATTGTTATTAAATATTATAGTTAATATTCATAATGTCTAGCCATTTCTATATCTTGCAAACGCAAACGTTTTTCTTGCTATATAACTATAAAAACCTAACAACAAAATTGTTAAGCAGTAACATAAAGCTACATGTACTTAAAATCTTGTCATATTAATCTCTATTACATAGGAAATATTTTAGGTAGTGATCCAATTGCATAACTAATGCACACTCTGTAACTACACCTCAACTTTCAAGTACAGTTAAATTTTACACTGTCATCAGTTATCCTAGCGGACAAACTGCAGGTCCGTGGATGTTCATGGTGAATTCTGACCCATTTTGTTTGGGTTTTTTTCCAGAGTCCATTGATTGTCGTGGTCATTATGACAGATGCTCAGTGTAAAGCACAATTTAGTTGGGTTTGAACTTGAAACAGAGAAAGCGTTATTTAAACACACAATAACAACGTGAACTTGGACAATAACTACCTGTTGTGCCACTTAATATCTGTATTCTCACTGCTGCATTGTAAGTCCACTGACATGACTACTAAACAAATACAATCAAACCTTGACAAAACAGACATTGGCATGAAGAATACAAAGTCTATAAAAATATGAGTTTACCAGCGGGTTAAAACCTGTGAAATATATCCAAGTTTTGGAACTGTTGTCTGATAGTCCATTTATGTATTTCAGGCTTAGCTTTTCAGAATNGTACATGACCAGTGTTTGGAGTCTGTAAAACAAAGTAGAGCAACATTGTTATGCTGTTGGCTTCATTTCACATGTACAATGTACCAGGTAAATGAACAGAAAAAAGTTGCTCCTTGTAATTATTACAACTTGCAACTAACCCTTCTTCCAGAGGATCCACTTGGTGACTTGGCACCAGCTGCTGTTCAAAAAAAATCTGCGTCAGTGAAAAGTATGCAATAATACATGAATGTGTACACAAATCTAGGACAAATTATATCATGACAAACAGATTGTCCCCTACTTATCTCAAAACATCAATTCCCCTCAGAGATAAGAACACATGTCTTTTGACGTTAGGTACAAGAATTTGGTGTTTGACCAAGAAAACATCCTCAGTTAATGATCTACCATTTTCTCACTTCCTATCTGCTTTACAATGCATTGATAATGTGAGGAGAAATACTATAGTGACTACTTTTGGGAGTCATAAAGTTAAACATCCACACTTACATCTTGGGCTGTGTCCATTCACCTAGAAAAAATTGAAATAAGAACATTAGCATATAATTAAGGAGGCAAGTTCACGAAAAGACAATCCAGGTTTGCATGGAGTTCATTACAAATTTAATATTGAAATCTAGTTTTACTTTTTCTTGTAACATGTGTCTCATTAAGGGCCAGGCACTAAACAAACTGACCAGCAGTGTGGATGATTTTGCCCGGCTGGTTTGACAGTCTAGAGGAAAATTTTTCATTCAAAACATTTTGTCCACACGTGAAAACCAGTTGTCATCCTGCTGAAACTGTTAATGAAAACCCTCTTGTATTTCTTGCTTTACTGATAACAACAGAAAAATTTCAAGAGGCATGCCATACCCTGTTAGCTGGAGGACCAGGGCTCATTCCTCGATCCTTGCCAGTGCTCTTAACTAAAAAGACAATGTGCATACAATACAATTTTAATTAAAACAACAAACACCAGCCTGGGACAATTTATAATGTCCACAGGTGATTTAATTTGATTTTGCACAAGAGATATAAAAAAAAAGCATCATTTAACAACAATAACATAGCAGGATTAATTTAAGAATCCACGGCTTATTGTAGAGAGGAAAAACTAATAAATAATTTATGTGGGACTTCTCAAACTATGAGGCACTCTGGAATTAAAATTTAAACCTAAACAAGATGAAATATGATTGCACTGTACTTGGTAGTTTTAAGCTCAAATAACCTAAGTCTTGCTTTTGTAAATTTGGTTTTATCCCTGAAAATCTTTAAAATTTATGGCATCCTTAGATCTTTTGAGAAACATTTTCTAAATCATGTTAATGCTTGATTTAAAAAGATAATACAATCACAAATTATATTTTATCTCTAATAATAAATAATATTCATCAGATTCTGAAAATTTGAGATACTTAAATAGTTTTATTATTTATCTTCACAAGTATCCATATTACCTGAGGCAGATCGTCGCACTTGGCGATCACGAGATGGTGTGTGGCCTCCTGAAATTAATTGATGTTTACATACAATTCTCATCACTTATCTCTGTACATTTATGTTTAGCACCAGAGAGAAAAATTGTTAAAATATTTATCATATTTTCTCTACAGCAATCATTTCAAAAAAAAGGTTTAAAGGCCACAAAAGTGTTTCCATTGTTATCATCAACATTATCAATTTAAAATTATTGACTTTAGGATCATACATGTACCTATAATGTCATATAATTTTATCTCAAACCTGATTAAGAGGTCTTTTCAAGAAATTTAGAATTGCCCAAATTTTAAAGATTTATGTTTATGCCACACAAATAGTTTTAAGTAACAGATCTTTCACTAACTATCAGGAAATTTATAATTATCTGAAATTGGAATTTTTAGATGATGGATGTGTTGTAAACCGAATAATGAATTATGTCTTGTACAACATTTTAGTTAGCCAGAAAGGGATTTTTAAATCAAGGGTTTAGGTTTAAACAGGTTTCCAAAAGAAGCTGAGCTCCTTTATGATGTCCTCAAAGAAGCAAAGAGGCAATATTTTCAAAGAACAGTTTTACAAAACCACATAACATAGTGCAACTGCTGGCTTATAACACTACATACCAGTGTCATTAGAACCACTGTCTCGTCGACCCCGTGGGGTTCTTAATGACGATGATCTTTTCAAGCCCGCTGGCCTCTTCAGATCTCTATATGGAGTTATCTTATAGCCTAAAAATCAAATGGAACATACAAATCAACCTTTGTGAATACAAAAATTATGCATCAGCAAAAAGACCAAACAGCAGATCAGCCAGATCCAGCCTCCATAAAAGAATAACAAAATTGTGACAATGACAATTAACTAATGGTGAAAGGAATGACAGAAATGCTGGGCTATAGTCTTCTGATTGAAAGAGGTAATTAACGAAAGCCAAGAATAAAACTTACAGGTAAATGAAACATTTATTTTATTAGCAAATATTTCTTGTACAAAGTAACAATGCAGCATTTTACAATGTATTTTTTATGTTCCTTCTTTGGTCAAATTCTTAAACTTTCATTTTCTTCTCATCTGTTACAAACATCCTTTACCAATTCTTTCATGCCTTTCTGGCTCCAAAAATAACTCTGAATTCAATTAATTTAATATAAAAACTTCCTCTATCCTGTAAAACTTTCCTAACCTTTCTGCTAAAAATACAGTAACTCCACTACATTATTTGCAATTCAAGCAAATTCCGTACTCCCATTTACAGCTTTTCTTGATACTTCCACAAAACACTATTCCTTTATTTATTACCAAATTCAATTTTATATTCAATGCACAATAATTATTAATGGCAAGTAACGTACTTGAAGTTCTTAAAAGCCTCTTAATACTACTATGTTCTTTAATTTATAAATACCCTTAACTGGAATGTCTAATTTTAAAATATAACAACCCAACTTCTACAATTTACCCTTAAAATACCACATTGGTATAGAAATGAATGTGCCCACCACCATCTTATATTTTCCTTAACCCTGGTCGCTGAATAAGATACATGTATATATTTATGTAGACTCCCCTTACTTTAGCTTAATATATATGATGCATTATGTTACTTGAGATTGCATTGCCATTAATGATAACTTTAATAATATTTAAGCACACAGCTATATTCAGTAGCCATTTATATTTCTTTTAAGTATGTTACAAGCGTTGACCACCTACAGCTTGTAATAAAAGATAGATCAAACAGTAATTCGGATTAGCACAAGTTCATTTATACTGCATAATCCCCATTAAACGCACTCAGTTCCAGAAAGTTAGTTCTTCACATTTTTTATTACAAATCGTAGTTAATGTCTTCACTGGTGAAATAGTCCGCTCCATAAGGTTTGGTTCTCTTATCCAGAGCTCCAAAACTGAGTTTGTTTCACCAGGATTGCACAGAAATAAAATCTGCTTGTAATGGAGGATATGTATGATCATAACAAAAATACTACTATCAAAAATACCAATTTATCACGGACCATGAGATAATTTGAATCAGAATCAATTTCTACAAGAAAATAAGTATTTTAATCTCAATAGATATGCTTTGATGATTAAATATGGCCAAAAATAGAACCGTGTTGTCTTGACTGACTGAAATAGATTTTTCTTTTTGTCATGAATGAGCGACAGAATTTTCAAAATATAAATTTAATCCTATAGGATACCTTTTGCAATAATTGCATAGGCATGCAATATACTTGCATTAAAATGCAAACAACACATAATATGGTGTCGAATGGCTCTTTCAGATGCCACACATCTCTTCAGAGCCTGTAATTTCATCCATTCTCTGTTTCCCACACCTCTATTGTTTTCAGGGCTAGACTCATTGTTTCTGTTGTTTGTTCTATTGTTATCTCAGCCGATCCTGTTAAGCCCTCAGAGAGGTGTATGGCGCCTAAGCTCTTTGATAAAAATACATCAACAAGTTAACATATGAACAAAAAGTGATATACATATATGCTTGTTGGAATCAAAGTAAAAAAGCTGCCCATTTTCTGATAATGATGAAAATTGCATCAAAAAGTAATGATTGTCTTGAAGGCTTCAACTTGGAACAAGCAGTTCTACGCAGGCAACAACTGTGCACTGTACATGTATTTGTCAACCCTTACAACTAACTCAAAAACATACACTGTGCTCTCATCCAAAAAAGGAAAAGTTTATCTTTTAGTTCACAAAAGAACCAAAACTAATCAATCAAAGTGTTGTACAACATTTCTCTACTTGCATGTAGCCAGTAAAACTTCCTTGCTTATTTCAATTCTTGTTGGTTTGTTCATATGGTTCTAAAATGTTGAGTTGTACTCAACTTTCAAGCAGAAATAAATATATGTTGCTCTGTATATATTTGCGTTTTTAAATCTTTAGCACAAAGCTGATGTAGAGCGAAGAGTAAAAGTTTATAAAAATCTGTCAAAATGCACACAAGTAAATAAAACTAACCGAAACTGAATAAAATAAATAGTGTCACTAATAACGCTAATATGGATTTGATAAAATTAATAACTGGCTTTGTGGTCTATATAAAAAGGAACATCTACTATGCAATACATATATCAGTTAATTTTATAACAGATATATGTATATAGGTCTATATATATGCTGGTTAGTATAATAGATATAAAATTAATTTGTATAACTATATGATTATTAATAACATATTTAATATTGATTAGTGTTTATTTGGTGAGTAAAATAGATTGAACATTAACACATTTATGGATATTACATTATTGTTATTAAATATTATAGTTAATATTCATAATGTCTAGCCATTTCTATATCTTGCAAACGCAAACATTTTTCTTGCTATATAACTATAAAAACCTAACAACAAAATTGTTAAGCAGTAACATAAAGCTACATGTACTTAAAATCTTGTCATATTAATCTCTATTACATAGGAAATATTTTAGGTAGTGATCCAATTGCATAACTAATGCACACTCTGTAACTACACCTCAACTTTCAAGTACAGTTAAATTTTACACTGTCATCAGTTATCCTAGCGGACAAACTGCAGGTCCGTGGATGTTCATGGTGAATTCTGACCCATTTTGTTTGGGTTTTTTTCCAGAGTCCATTGATTGTCGTGGTCATTATGACAGATGCTCAGTGTAAAGCACAATTTAGTTGGGTTTGAACTTGAAACAGAGAAAGCGTTATTTAAACACACAATAACAACGTGAACTTGGACAATAACTACCTGTTGTGCCACTTAATATCTGTATTCTCACTGCTGCATTGTAAGTCCACTGACATGACTACTAAACAAATACAATCAAACCTTGACAAAACAGACATTGGCATGAAGAATACAGAGTCTATAAAAATATGAGTTTACCAGCGGGTTAAAACCTGTGAAATATATCCAAGTTTTGGAACTGTTGTCTGATAGTCCATTTATGTATTTCAGGCTTAGCTTTTCAGAATTCCACAGTGGTTAGTTCTACAGGTTGTTCAGGTAGTGGATAAACAAAAGATGTGAATGTATAGGAGCCTCAGTTGGCAACCAAAAATGAAGGTCTAGATGATATATAAGTCTGAATAATCCAGGTTTGACTGTATCCCTTAGTTATGCAGTAGTGCAAATCCAACTTCCTGTCAATAACAGGAAAAACTTACAGTGGCAAGAGAAAGTCAATGATCTAATACTAAGATCTAATACTTCCTGGAAGAGGATTGCATTTTAGGTAATCTGGCAGTCCCGTCAGGCTTCAACTGTTTCAAGAGAGTCAGCTGGAGAAAGGCTCAGCATCATTGGTTTCAGATCCAATTTAGCAGTGGGATCTGTGAAATCATTACTGTCCAAGTCTTTCTCTTCAGGAGAAAACATCATTGGACGAACAGACGCAGTAGGTTTGCCATCAATGAGTCCCTGGCTTTTGTTGAGATTTTCATTATATATGTAGACATAGTAACCATGACGGCCCTCAATATCATCAGAATCTGAATTCTCTGGAGATGACGTTTGAAAAGCTATCATCTTCTGTTCTGCAGTTTTTGGCCCTCCTCTTATAGCCACAGGAGTGTCAGAACCTGCTTTTGGCCTGATTGGTCTGATTGGAACAGGCTTGTCTGAGCCAGCTCGCTTCTTTGTTGGCCTTAGAGATGCATTTGCTTGGGAAGGTATCAATGACTTACGGGCAAACTCTGATGGAAGCCCAATGGCAGATTTTGGTCTGCGGGCCTCAAAATTTCCAGACGATCTTGATGTTGACTTTGGTGATGGTGAAAAAGACTTTCTAGAGTAAGTAGGCCTGGGTGACACAGACCTTGTTCTTACAGGTGCTGGTCTTGGTGATGTTAGATTTGACATGGATGCTGCTAACATGCAGTGCAAGTGAACTGTAAACTGCTTTGCTGGTGGAGGGGGCTCAGGTCGCAGGCCAGGAATATAGGAATACATATCTGTGACAGGTGCATAACGCCAACGTGGGCGGACCTCTGGGACTAGAAAAAACCAAGGTGTTTTAATGAACTTGGCAATGAAAATAAACTGAGTAGCACGTGCACTGTTTGCCATCGTATAAGCGAGTAAAAATTAATGCAAGTTTTTTTTATGATTCCTGCATGACAGATATTGGGTTCCTATATCCTGGCCTGCATTGAGCATATTTTCTGACATGACCATCTCTAGGAGTAGTGATTGTGGTGGGTTTTCAGTTGTTGACGAGTACCAGTCATGAAGAGAGACCAAAAACATGTACCATCCATACTTAGCATACAACAATTTGACTGTGGCTGATTGTTGCTTATTTTTGCCTCGCTTACACGAGAGCCAACAGAAGTAGCAGCTTATAAGTTATTTTTTACAGGGCCTTCATTGATTACAGTTTTAACTGAAGAAGTGCCCTGATAAAATAAAGGTTAACTTACTTACTAAAACCAGAATAAACCAACGCGTCAACCAGAGTTTTAGCCATATGGGCATGGAAGTGTCCAAATGAAACACACCTTATAGATAATAATTTCCAGGAGATATTGATTATTTGAATAACAGGCTTGATCCTGTCCCACAGAAAACTTTGATGCCCATTTTTTAATACCAGCTAAAAGGCCAATTCTAACAAAGCTAGTTAAATAATGTTACCAAAATTGAACTTTTTTGAAATTTTTCACAGCAGTCTGATATTTATTTTCCCTCGACTCATATTCATTATCATAATAAGAGACTTGCAGAGGAAGAAATAAAAATCAAAAACTTGTCTGTGAAATTTCAAGCCAAAAACAAATTCAACCACATTATGTGTATCTCCTCATGTAGCCTTATAAGGTTGGAAGAATCCCACACCTGTACTGTTGAGTTTTTCAGAACTCATTCTCAAGTGTTTCATTAGCAGTTTTCAATTAACACAATTTCAAAACTGTGTTTATATAACCTGACCCAAGACATCTGGCTATCTAATGAGAGTGTAAATTATCAATAATTTGAAGTGCATAATTGATTTAAGGCTACAAAAGCACCAAAAAGAAAACAATCCAAAAATAGTGAAATTGATTAAAGCCCAGCAATGTACAGAAATGTGTTGAGAAGCTGAAGCATTCAGATTTACTGACATATTGCTGCAAAACTGTGAGAATGAACAAACACAAAATAAGACCACAAGCAGCCCCTCTTTCGTTAGTCTGTTGTGTGTGACAAGAATGGAAACTGCGACAAAAAAAGCCAAATGAAATCCAGGGTGTGAGAAGCCATTGCATGCCTCTCACTCCCAGAATTTCACACTACCATTTTTTCCTTGAGGCTTACTTACAGTCATGCTCGCCAGACTGAGTGAAAGACCAACTAATCGTAGTCTAACACAAAATTCTCATCAGGCCATCTGTTTATTTGTGTTTTTTTATTACAGATTTCTTCAAATATAACACTGACTGTACATTGCTAGTCAAGAAGATATAATTGGGAAACAAATTATAATGCGTTAAGTAGCTTTTGAGATATCCCAGATTATTTCCAACTTACTTTGAACATCCACATCAAATCCCTCGTCAGGAAACTTTTCATTACTTTGTAAGGCAACAAACATTGTGTCATCTCCAAACAGATTTCTCAACTCCCTAATCTGTGGAATGAAATGAGTGAAGAAATTCTTCAGCAAAATTTTGAAGTAAAGGTTAGTTCTTTGTTTATACTCATCCAAGAAGAGTTGTCATGGGATCATTTTGGTAGACAATTTGAACTACTGAGAGCAGAAAAGAATTTGGGAAACTCCAATACATTTAAAAAAAACATCACCTTCTTAGTTCTCCTTCGACACAATGAAGATAGGAAAAGAGTACATCAATGGAGTCTTAAGGATGTGATGTCTTCTAGTTCTTTTGTTTGCATTTGGGAGGGGTGTGGACTGAATGATTTTCCTCCAACGATTACAACAGTTCAAAGCAACTTGTAAGCATACTGCAATTGGATGTTTTGTAGTCTTTTGCACAATATTCAAGATGCCACAACAAAAAACAACCAATAAGTAATTACATTCTCTATGGGAGAATCAATCAAGTCTATAATATCATTCAAAATGATATCCTATAGAATTCAGTTTACTTAAGGTAACAAAACCACTCTTGAACACTAACTTCAGTTAGTAAACTTAATTCTTCAGGGTAGCAGTAAAGCAGCAGAAATATCCTTGATTCTAAGGTCTGTAGTACAATTTCAAAGAGTTTTACCTATCAGCGGTAAATTAATTTTATTGGAAATACACAACAGATGGAAGCAACTGTTCATAGTAAAGTAAGTTAATTCATTCTCCCTAGCTTAAAGCTAGCATGTTAGGAGTAACCCATAACAGGCGACACCCAAAGTCATATTTTACAAACACCAAAATAAAGGAGAAACATCAACATCCAACACAACTCACAGTCAAAATGAAAGTCTTTTATTTTGACAAAGACAAATTACTAGGCTAAACTTATTCCAAGCAGGGTGCTTCCATTCTCTTTGAAACTGACAAATCATGATTATACAGAATGATCTTTTTCAGTAGAAGCCAGAATCAATAACTTAAAATGCCTCCTTTTTGCTTTAATAAAGTATGTTTCTAGAGTATAATTATGTTTACACCAACTTTGCGGGAAAAGACAAGATTTATCTCTGCAGGTTTTTTCTACCTTTAAATTGTACACTGTCTTCTCATTATTGTCAGTCTCAACATAAAACAATGAATTCTGCTTACACCCACTATTCCCATTATTAAACCAAGTCCTGTTCCCTGCTGGAAAAGTACACGGTACTCTTTGAACCAGCAGGAAACAAGAGCAGAAAAATTCCAAATTTAGAACATTGTCAAACACACAAAAGCTTAAAAATACACACTTATTACTATTCACAGTGATGAAAAAATACCGCGTTTAACCTTTTGATGCCCAATAATTCTAATTTCAATTAATAAACAGCACCACATGAAAGTGCCATTCAATAGCTTCAATTAGAATGGACACACGCCAGGGTGTCATCTTCAAATCACAGAGTAAAACCTAATGAACAACACTCTATGAAGTACTGCTCAACAGCTTTCATTTGAATGGTCACATACAAGACTTTTGATATCATATAAGCTAGAACCACATTAAACTGAATCGTGGTCTAAGAGTTGCTTGATAAATTCTTTTTGTTTCCAATCAATTCTTACAGCAAATTATAGTAAGAAGATTTTGATTATTTTCCAGGCCGATTTCCAATGTGATCTACTCATAAATTTACTTGACCTACTCACGAGACTTTGCATGAATGTTTTAAGGTAAATCGCATTACAATCACTGTCATAGTTGAAGGAGTTTTGTCTTAATCTTTGTTTAGAGTATACAACTTGGCTCCACTCTGATTAACAGAGAGGGCAAAGGATGACAATTTCTTTCTGAAACAGGCATTAATCCTATTAACCCAAGATCTAAATTGGGGATTACAAGGGTCAATGGCAGAGAAACTCTAGACATTGCATGTGGGACAGAAACAACTCTGAAGCACGGAGCTGGGTGCCAATAACAGAAAATTATAATTTTTTACAGAACCATTTCATTTACAGAAATTACACCAAGAACCTGAATAATAATGCATTGACAGAAACATTTTATCTGATCTGTAGACACCACCAGCTAGCAATCAATATATCTTCAAGTTTAATCCAAAAGTGACATATATCAGCTGTAAATTCTTCCTAAAAATTCTTTGCACTGTCTTGCGGGCAGGTGAAGAGAGGAAGAAAATATATTTTATTACATGTAATAACCGAAGGGTGTTGTCTTCATGAATCACCAAATTCTCCCAAGTAACTTAGCATTCAGTAGGGAGAATTAAAACAGAGGACGATAACTTGTTTTCTTAATTCAAACATCTCATAATAATTTAATAATTTTGAAGTCAGTCAAACAATCTCTAAAATCTTCTTTTAAGCAAAATATGATATTTGTAAGCTTCTTAAAGGCATAGTATACTTGCCAAACTAAATTCCAAAGATATCTAAATAACTATTGATAAAATTCAGCACATTCACTCAACCCCTTTATCCAGTCTTGTTATTACACAACATAGTAACTTTCATAAGAACCCAGTGATCAAATAATAACACAAAGAAACCACTTGTCAATTCTAATGAGGCATATCCAAATCAATTCTTTACTTTTCTAAATGAACATTTCTTAAATTGTTAACACAGAAATGCATGATTTAATGGGGGTTACAAGGAAGACAAATTGCAGATTCAAAGCTATGCTTTTTCTGATTCCAGTACGATGACCAAAACACTCACAACACTTGTAAATAGAAAACCACTGTTTACAATAACACCTCTTGATATGGGAATGCAAAACAGAATTCCCAATTCATTACCTCAGGCTATAATGTAAAACTACGGTTAAAAAAAATGACATTTTTTCATGTGATAAAAGATCATATTGGTCGGCAAAGGGGGGCAAACGACACGATGTTAGCCATGCATTTGAAAAACAGGAAGGAAGCGACTCAATTATATAATTTTTCTACCACCGGAGAACATGACATTTTTTTAATATCTCGAGACCAACGCGTGAAAAACCAATACAATCAATCCAAATAAAATACTCGAGAAGAACAGAAGACAGTTCAAATGGAAAATGCTGACATCGGTTTCGTGTAACAAATGTAACTCTATAACGTCCTTAAAAGAGAACAGGTCACAAAATGTTAAATTCTCGGGTCAATTAGAATATTCTTGAGACATACAGTAAGCAAACAATGAAAGCTTTTGACTGCTTTCGGAAGCGTGAATATTTTGATTTTGGCGAGCAGTGTAATATTCCTGAAGAACACAAACAAGTTAGTGTAGAGGTGCAGAACTTCAACATAAGCCACACAAGATAGTTACATGTAGAATTTGTGAGGGATAAATGACCCAAAACAATCGAAAAACACGGTGTTCATAAATGAAGGTGTGAAAATTGCTTGAGACCGAGGGTATAAATAATGAACAGAACGATACACGTGGCGAGAAGGCGACTCAAATTGTAAGCGCTTTGAATCTAATCAAACAAACTGTACCCACGGGAATTATCAAGGGAAATTGAAGGAAAACATCGCGATCTAATAGCAAACTTTGGCTTCCTCAACCACAACTCGGCGATCTAGATGAACAAACAGTAGAACTCCTCGCCAAACGCGCAAAATTCGACGGGGTGTAATCAACAACTTCGTTCATTTCAATTCATCGCATACGGCTAGAGTTTATGCCCCGATTAATAGACTAGATTTCGCTTGGTAGAGAAACGAAAGTTTCCGTGACGATTTACAAATATAATTCTGTTCAAAATGCCATAAAGTCTGTGATCTAAACATCTAGCTATGACTCAATGCATTTAACAGCCGCGCTTCATCGTTTATCGTTTTCGACACGAGCGCAAGGTTTTCTTCACAATAGGTGCGCGCGTAATGAATTTTCACGGACGCTCGCTCTGTCAGTTCGGTTCGGGCATACGAAAGGATTGCAATAATTTTCCGCGAAGTAATACAACGAACAAAGACAACGAGCCCAAGACTGGCGATCAATTATTAATTACAGCGGTAAAACGAATGCCTCTTCAATGCATTTCTGAAACAAGAGAAATGGCTGACAAAAACCCCTTACCTGTTTTCCGTCAACAGTGTGTAATTTGTCCACTTTCCCAAGCGTTCCCTTGGAAGACAGATGATCCAAAACTTGCTCCAAGTTCACTGCTGTTTTAGCGTTGAGTAGCATGGTAACTTTCTTCTGTGGTGGCTTTCCATTCTTGATCACTGTCACCAATTTCGGTTTGATGAAATCGCGACTGCCGTCGATCTGTGTGTGCGAGGGTGACGATGAAACCGTCTGAGAATTTTCTTTCTTGTAATTAGCAAGCGACCAAGACTTTTTTATGTTTCCATAGCCAGCATCGACTTCTTTGAAGCAATTACTCGAAGAACAAACATAACTAGCGCCGTATTGTAGTTCGTTCACATCTGTGATCATTTTGCCAGTTTCAGCGTTGAAAATAAACCTCACCGCCCCGGTTGAAAGATCCAGCTTGTTTGATAGCTCGGCCAGCAAAGCATCAAACTCTTTGTACCGCTCGGGCGACACGGCCAGTTTAAGCCCTGAAAAAAATCGATCCCCATTCCTGTAAAAGCGAATTTGTTTGGCACTAAGGCTTTGGTTTCTTCTCAGAAGCGATGTGCGGTTGATTTCTTTTGAACAGGCATTGCGCGAGTTTGAGCGACTCAGGCCGGGCGATGGAGAGCGGGATCGATCGTGGTGATCTCCGTTCATCGTTCCATTCTCCATTATTGAACGTCTCGAGACAACTGGAAAAAGAGAAGGAGAAACGTTTAATTATTCACATCGTGTATGACTAAGTTTTCTCGACGTGACCGTATAAATAAGCGGTTTTCAATCTCAGTAAAGCGACGAAAAAACGTCACCGCAGAAAAAGGGAGTTACTTACACTCGGCCGGCGCCCGATTGTTCCTTTCCGCTTGGCTCCCAGTGGCTCTTTATCAGTTTGCTAATGCGTTTAGGCCTAAAACTCTGTCCAAGGAAACACAAATAATAGCCTCATATTCTATTCTGAACTGGTGAGGGCCGAAATGCACCTGCACTGCAAAAAATTACGGCCATCCACTGCAAGCTTGACAACCGCGAATAATATTTTGACTTGTTCCGACCATGAAGTGCCGCCTTCTGATTGGGTTGTTGAACAATAGAACAATCAAAGAAAAAAAGGACCAATCAAAGTACGTTATTGATCCAAACAAGCACGCGTGTTTCCTGTCAATTTTTCTGCCACAAAAATCGTAAAAACAGCTCTTTTTTTCTTCAGTTTTATTGCAAATGTAGCTTTATTACTTTTCGTTAATTTGGTGGGAAATTTTCTGTCATACGGTTGATACTTTTGATTTAAACTGATCCTACAGGGCAACCATTGTTTAAAACGATTCTGTATGAATTATTGAAGAGTATAATGTGGACTTATTCATCGGATATCGCTTTTCCTGAGATGGGGCATCTCCTTTGTCTCGATCGACGCGATAAAATTATTGTTTCGCATTCTGGATTCATTAGCTCCCGAGAATATTTTAAAAGAACCGACAAGCTAACTGGTTTATCTTCCTATCTTTTCGAAATTATGTCACGTCTTATTCATTTGGCCCCAGACCTGAAATACCTGCTTTTCTCAAACAAACCACTAGAAATTTGCAGGTAAAGCACTATTTCTTTTCGTTTATTTTAACCGAGGAAAATCTAGCAAGATTTACGGACCCAACGCGACGTTACGTCTCTTTTAGCAAGGAAAAACACCATTGTTTTGACTTTGAGTCTCTAGGGTTTTCTAGTTCAATCAGTTTTAACCTCCGTGCACCTGTCGCCGCTCAATTTTGACGCCGCACGATAAATTTTTTCCCTTACTGTTCATATTGAGCACAGAAAATCTCCATAAAAGGAATTCTCGCGCGCTCTAATGAAGAAGAAGCGTGTTTGAAGTCGAAAGGCACGTTCGTATGCAGAAAATATTATGTTTGTCCGCGGCTTTGAATGAGAAAATTAATTGGTAGTAAAATAAAATTCTAGCGCATCTTGCGTTTTCGTGTTTATGGAAAAATATTTTGAAAGAGAGATTGCGACATCCCGGCAAAAAGTGAAAAATTAGTTGATACCTGTAACGATGGAAATAAAGGAAAGAAGATCTAAGTCTTAGGCGACCCAGTGTTAAAGTTACTGAACTAAATTATGTTTATTATTTTCTGCAAAGCTTTAAAGAATTTCATACAATACCGAAGCAGTTGTACCCTTGATTTTGTGTTTGTTTTCAATTTTATTTCCAGCAAGAGCTATTGGCGTAAAAGAAAACATTAGATAGGATTAAATAAACATAAATTTCCGTTTTTCTAAAATATTTCATAAAAGAGTCCTAGGGAGACTGGAAAGTTCCCACTGAAGCGAATAAATTTTTGCCACCTCGCTATTAGTTCGGTTTATTAATTTCAACGAAGAATTATCTCGATTCTTCCTGATGAGAGCAAACTGTTATGATGGATTCAAGCGCGTAAGGCGTATTAATGTACTAAAACTGTCTCGTAAACTTCCGTGGTTGATTAAAATATGGTAAATCCATGCGATTACAGGGTGCGGCACTCGGAACACATGGCACTTTTAATGGACCTCGACAGGAGGGAGGACTGAATGCTGGGTTAGTTTTCATGCGTTACCGCAAGGGGCTGGAAAGCTGCATAATCTAGTACGGGAAATTACGGAAATACACCGGCGCTAGATAAAAACTTTTATGCTTAATGTTACGCTTGACAATGGTCTGTGTGTCAACAACAACAACATATAATTAGGCAGCAAAAATGAATTTGAATCGCTTGTATGCATGTTGCTTTAACTGATAAAGATATCAAGTGATATCGGTCAAGATATTTCGTGATATCTGGCCCATCAAAAATTTATGGCCCATATTGACGAGTCAGATGACATGCCTCGAACATAGATACGAGAAACTATCAATTTACCGCTTCCCACCGCACGATACTTCAGGATTTTTCGGCGTGAGTCCAGCAATCAATCTTGTCATTTAAAATTAGTTGACCTGTGCCATTTAAAGCGGAACTAGCGAGAAAAATACACATAACCAGCCTTCAGGAATGCCAAATAAAAACTTTTTTGGGAAAAAAATAATTATAATGACTAAGTAATTACAAAATAGAATTCTTAAAACACATGTTTACAAGTACTAACTATTTAGATATCTTGAAATTTCTTGGGGTCGAACGAAGTAAGCAAAGTATTATCTCTAAGCGCTCAAGTATTGCTATTGAGTAACTGAACAAATAATATAAAGAGCTTCGTAAACATGCTGCGAGAGTTTATTAAAACTGCCAACTGAACATTGTTCACAGCCCTGAAGCAACTAAAGCTGGAATTTAATCCCCCGTTTCCAATTTGTTTAACTGGGAGTGAAATTTAGAAGCTCCAGAACGGAAAATATTACGGCCGGGGGAAGCCAAGCCAGGTGTCTTGCAATCTTTTGCGCCTTTTGGATGTGTGTTTTCTACACTTCTTTGCCATAATGAACCCCAAATTTTGGTTTGGCAACGCTAAGATTTTCTTTTATTCATTTTACAAAGACTTTTAATGGAAATAGACTTATTTTTATGAAAATATTGACACCATAATTATCGTGCTATAAATATTCAAATATTTCAATTTTATTCAGACTCAGACTTCAATGCCTCAGGACTTACTTTAAGTAAACAGGTCTTTGAACCCTCACCACTCTGTTTCTCCCGCGCGCAAATACGTGAGGAAGAAAGAGTGGTTTTACAAGAGTAGCGCGCGGAATTAGGGCGCGATCGGTTTTAAAATTGTCAAGAAGTTGAACTCAGTTTTCGCCGGTTGAGACATTTATCATGATTATCCAATCTTCATTCCCTTTTCTAAAACACTTTTTTTTTGGTTAAATGCCTAAAGAAGCAAATTGAAAATTTATTTTCCGTGTAAGTTACACACATCCCTTGAAAAGCACCGAAGAACCTCCTGTACTAATGTTATCGAGGTTGGTTTTGTTACGAGCTTTTGATGATATTCATGAAGGACGCAAACTCTTTAAACTGTATTACCTTAGTGACGCCCTTTGGTCTAGCATTTACCCTAAGGGCCCAATCAAATGCAAGAGTTATATTAAAACTACTTTCCACACCAGACACGCTTTTTTTTCTTTTACTGAAAGCTCTTTCATGATTAAAAGGCTTGCTTTTCCGAGCAGGTGTTAAACAATGCCAACCAATTACAGGACTTTTTAATTGCAAAAACTGTTCAGAGAGATCTCGTGTTCCTACTTTCCGAATTCGATTTTTTATGTTCTCTTTGTGACGTATCACAAAAATAACAAAGGATTTTTCTGAATTTGATATAAGCTTAATATAAATATATTTACATACAGCTTTAAAGCAGGTTTTGTGTAAAAAATTGAGTTATGGCCAAGAATTTCCCTTTAGAATTTATTGTAAGTTGGAAAGCCAAAGTTGGTTGAGGTTTTTCCATTATGGTCTCGCCCTTTGCTGAGTTTCGGTTGCCTTCATTTCCTGGTAGGCTTCGTAGGATTTCCGCACGAACGGCGGCCTCGTTTCCAGACCTTTTCTCTTGAAAAAGGCTGGGGACGAAGTTGTCGCACATGCGTTCGAGGCACCCACGATGTTGCCTCTCAGCCACGCGCAAACTATTTTTTCGTCTCAACGCCTGCTCTTCTGAATGGACTGCCCTTATGGCAGGGTTCGTCGATCAGTGTGTTACACATAGTGCCCTATCTTGAGCTCAAAAGTGAGATAATCAAAGCCAATTGTCAAAACATGAGAAGCTATCCCGACGTGGAAGATGAAGATAACGCGCGCGTTCAGCCCATTCAATGTTGCCGCGCGCGCGCGCGCAGCACACAATGTGGTATTGCATTATTTCGAAATTTCAAAACGGGATAGACAGCAAGCAAACACACAGGGAGAAAATATTATATCAGTCCAATGTTTATGAAAAGCGTTCCCCCTGTCAGCGGAGGTAAGGTAAATCAGAAGTAGACGTGAACCGCATGTTCCCAGGTCAGAGTTTTCTGCAGGTTGCGTGCCACTTACACATACAGTTGGACCCCGCTAAATTCGAACTCGGTTATTTCGAATCCTCCTTTTATCTCCAACTCAAGAACAATTCCCTTGGATTTGCCTTTCAGCCATTTACCAACAACTTTTTCGAACCCCCGCTATTTTGAACTATTTTTCGTTTCCCCTGAGAGTTCGAAATAGCGGGGTTCAATTATAATTGGACTGATAAGTCTGAAAATGAATAGTTATTCTTTTTTCCGCTGAACTAATGAATTTTTGGAGCCAAACGTTTACTTAATCATATTTAGATAGACTTTCTCTTGACTTCAGAGTATACAAAAGTCAGTTTAATCTCAAGATTTAAAAAGATGAGGCGCTCCTATGTCTAGCATTTGTTAATCAATTGCAGCTTACAATCCTAAGGACCAAATCGGATTATGTTCTCTTGATTAAACCTACTTTCCACTCAGATAAAATTTTTCTTATTAATAAAAGCTTTTCATAATCAAATTAAAACTTAGTAAGACAAGCTGCGAAAACTTACTTTGGTTAAGAGCCTTTCCTTGTCTTTTCTGGACCTTAGCCAGACTGAAACTCTGATCGAGGCATTAACAGGAAAAAAGCCACTTTTTTATGTGCTTACTTATTCTTTTTCTTTTTAAAGCATATAGCCTCTTACAGAAACCTGAAATACATAAATATATTTAAAATTTTTAACGAGAAGTGCTTCGCGCGTACCGATTTGCCTGTAAGCAGCTGCGGCTCTGCCTTTTAGCATATTAAAGAAAACTTTGTATTTTGGGGGCGATTTTGTGGTCATACTTCCATGCGATGTAAAAATAAAAAACACCCATGGAATATGAGACATCGATGAGTGTTAAGTAAGTAGAGTAAGTTACATTTTTTTTTCGCTATTGTATGTTACTAGTGTAGGTAATATTTGTATTGTAATTAACGTTATTGTTGCATCAAAATAAACGTGATCAACAAAGCCACTTGTTGATGCTTAGAGCAGAAAGGGAAATTAAAACCCAGTGTTCCTTTCCAGGTATTTTTATTATGG